TCCCTGCGAGCGGCACCCATCACCCTCGCTGGAGGCTGTGGGGACTCCGCGCCAAAGGGAAGCAGGGAGCGGGGGTCCCGGAGGAGAGGGGAAAGGGGAGGAGGGAGGCCGGGGCACAGGAAGGACAGGGCGGGCGGTCAGGCGCACGTGGCCTCCTGGCTCTCCACAGGGATCTCGCTGCCGCAGCCGCCCTCGCTGTACTGCTGGTAGGGGGGAATCTGGGGTGCCTCGATGATCAGCAGCCCCTCTGGCGACAAGGAGGCGAAGACGGTGATGGGGTCCACCTCATAGGGCAGCCTGTGGGAGGGGAGGAAATTGAGATCGTTTAGGAGCTGGGGGGCCAGCTTGCAGCATCCTGCATCCCTGGGGGACACCGACCCTTGGGACACCCACGCAGGAGCCCCAGTGCGTGGGGAGCCACCAGTGCCGAGCTTGGCAAAGGCTGTGTTATTACTGTAGCACCCTGGAACGCGGTGGGGATATTTAAAGTGGCCTCCTGGCCCCCACGGGCGCTCTGTTTAATCTCCCTGGCAGATGTGTTTGACGAGACGTCACCCGCCGCTGGGTGTACAGGAGTAAATCATCGCCGCGCCGCAGCCCGCGCCGGCCGCAGGCCTTGCCCGTAAAAGGAGCCGCCGCTGCTGAGCTCGCCCCAGCTTTCCCAGGGGAGTTTGGGATGCGCAGGGCTCCTTTGAGGTGGAGAAGCAAAGCGGAGCTGCTGCTCTTCCAGGTTAACCCTCTGAGCCCTGTGGTGGGGGGTCTGCTCCAGCCTTGCCTTTCCTCCCTGCCCTTTGCTGTTGTTGTTGCCAAAGCAGGCGGTTGTGGTGAGTCAACCTGATAGCGATCTGACTGACATCATTCTGACAGAGATATAGATACACATTCATGAACAGGGATGTATTTTGGGGCCAGCGATGGTGTCAGCCCCTTCTGAGCCCCGGGGATGTGCTGGCACTGTGAGTGCAGCTCCTTGCACCCATCCTGCTTCAAATGCAGCCCTGGGCCTGGAGGAGGCTGATGGAGCACCCAAAAAAAGCCCTCGCCCTCTTCTACCTCCCTCAGGAAATCAAGGTGTGGCCCAAGCCAGCCAGGCACATGCTGCAAGAGGGCAGATTTTTGGGGTGAAAACAGGCACAGGAGACCCTGAACCCATGAGCTGGGACTCTGGGAGTGGCAAAGCTCAGCCCTTTGCTGCCAGTGACATCCCCCCCCACTGCCTGCGACGGGGTCCCACAGCAGTCTTCTGACATTTGGGTGCTGGCCCAGGGGACGTGGCAGCCCCCGCACCCTGGCCCCCGTGGCGGGAGGATGGCCTGGTACCTACTGGATTTTCTTGGTGAAGTTCTTGGAGACGATCCCTCCTTCCACCTGCTGCTCCTCGTGTTTGCCTGCAGGGAAGGGTAACACCCCCGTCAACACCTCACCGGGAGATTATTTTTTTATTTCCCCAACAAACAACACGACCCAAGAGGAAAGGTTTCAGAGGAGCTGTTTCCCCCTCCCAGTGCAGACCCTTCCCTCTGGTGAGAGCGCAGGGGAAGGAGATGCGAGATGCAGCACACCCCCATTCCCATTGGGGTGTCACAGGCTGCCAAGAGCTGGGGCTTCAGAAAAAGCCTCCAAATATAGCAAAATCTTTGGAGGTGGCAGTGTCACCCCTTGTCCTACTCCCCAGGGCTCCCCTCCACCACACAGCCAGCCTGAGGGTCCCTGTGCCTGAGGTTAAACCCACACCAGCGATGCCTGGACCCCCCAGACCTGCAATGCCATGAACCCCAAAAAACATCCGGGGCCATGCTGCATGGTGGCCCTCATCCCCTCCCAAGGGGACAGTGTGGGGTGTGGGTGCCAGGCTGAACAGGCCCATGGGGACCCCAGATGTGGTGTCCCCTGCACCTGCTGTCCCCATTTTTAATTGAAATTTTTAGGGACATGCTTCTGGCTAGGGCCTCTCAGGGCTGGGGTAGGGGATGTGGGGTGGTTTCCCCCTACATCCTGGTGCCAGAGCTGTGTCCTTCTTGGCCCCTTTAAAGGGAATCTCCCTCTGCGTGGCCTCACCCCAGCTATAATTAACCGAGCCAAGCTGGGGCCCCTTAATTAACTAAGCCAGGCTGGGGCCCCTCTTGGCAGCTTACTGCAGGGTGCTGCCACCCGCAGCAGCGTCTCCCCGGCTGGTCAGGGCAAAAAGTGGGGAGATTTACCCCCAAAAAGCCTTGTCTTTTCATTTTGGCAGTAAACCACCACAGCTTGTGAGCTTGGTCCCCCCATGGCACCCCCGAAACTGCCCTG